AAAGTTTATTTGATTCCTGTGCATTCCATTTGGCAAGGCCCACCTGGATAGCCATATTTGCTGTTGTTGAAAAAGGAAATTTCCAATGAGCAGGTTGTTGTCTTGCAACATTCTGTCCTGTGACCTCGGGTAAAACATCTATCATTCCTAGCAGCGGGCCTTCCGTTGTTTCCGACTATCACATTCCAATCGCTAGTAATTATCGATGGATCTTTACTTCATGTTTGAACGACCTCAGACTGTCGAAGTTGGCAAACATCTTCATCTCATCATTTTTTGGCACCAGTGTTTGGAACCTTTTGGGGGGCACTGTAATGACAGTCGTATTAACTTGTCTTCCTTGCTGTGGTTAGGCAGCAGTGCGTTGGTTCTGACTCGCAGTGACCTCACAGACAATAGAACAAAGCACTGACTAGCCCTCCCCATCCCCGTAAGACCTGCAGATACATGCATGCTGGCCTACCATGACAACCCTGAACTTCAGGATGGAGCTTGGAATGTTCTTTTGATGATGAATTTGATGTCAGCCCCCTTCAGTTTTTTATTCCTGGCATAGTCGACCACATGTTTTAAAAAATAAGAGTTAAAACATGCTCTGAAACACAGACGTTTTTGTTTTGAACAATGAGGTGGGTCTCTTTTCTAGCCCAGCTGACATCCACACACAAGGATGCCAGGAGCTGCCATCCATTCAGTGGTGACCGATGGGCTTCCGTCACAGGGAGGAGTTAAATTCAGTGGTGAAGTTAGTTAATGCTGATATCCTCTAGCCTTTAAGGAGAGGTCAGTTCTGGGCATCTTTTCCATGCACCCTGCTAAAGAGTGTGCCTCTTCCTCAAAGAGTACTATCGAAGCTCTCTGGGAGGGCGCTGTACCCCTTAGCTGTTAGGGTAGCCAAGCGGCTGAGAACGATTGCTATGCAACACAGTGGTTCCCAAATCCCTTGGAACTAAGAGTCTCTCCATGCAGATCTATTAAGCTCTCATGAAAAATTTATTACAAAATCCAGGCTGCTATCCAGTCCTGGGCCCAGACTTTCCAGCACTGTGTGTGCATTTGTCACGTAATTAATTTACTTACTTATTATCACACAGAAGCTTTCCCCTTGGGCTAACTTTAGAAACATTCAAAATTAAACCTATTTTCTAACCCCTTTGTCTCCAGTGTATTCAGGGACAGGCCACCCGGCGTGTTCACGAACCTGGCAGAAGGGACTCCATATTTGGGCCCGGTGCCGAGATCCCCAGTCCCAGTAGCAAGAATAACATGTTTCCCACTGAATTCCAACCTGTTCTCTGCTGGACTGCCGGATCCCTTTGCCAGGAGTGATTTGACAACTTTGGAAAATGATGGGATCAGAAAATGAATGCATTGCTAAGTATGACTCTTCTTTCCCTTTCTACTTCATCTGCTGTTCGATGTTGTTATTATTATTTGCCTGTGTGCTAGCTGTGAAAGAGTCCTTATGAAAGGTGACGTGCAGAAGTGAAAGGTACACACGGAGGGACCCTGTGGTTCCTGGTGGCATCGTGGTTGCACGTTGGGCTGCTAACCACAAGGTCAGCCGGTTCAGCTGCTCCAGGGAGAGAGTCGAAACTTCCGACTCCTCTCAAGAATTACAGTCTCGGATATCCATCGGGGGCAATTCTGCCCTGCCCTACAGGGTCACAGTGAGTCAGAACTGACTCGATGGCAGTGAGTTAGTTTTGGTTGTAAGAGACTTCAAAATGTTCATGGAAAAAATTCCATCATCTTTCAGTTCCATTTCCCCCCATAACTAAGGTGACCAGCAGTTCTGGTTTTTAACAATTTTTCCCGCATCCCACAGCGTTTTAAAAAAGTCCTGATTTTTGGAAAGCATGCATGACGTTAGGGTATAAGGTTTTCTGCTGCCATGTGGCTATTTCACCAGGATAGGAGTTTTATCCATGGTGTCCCGCTTTACCAATGCTAAAATCTGGTCACCTTACCATAAACCCTCTGACGCCCTCAGGGACCGAGTTCCGTGAGCAGAGACCTCAAGCGAGGGGCTGCACAGAGAAAGCTGTACTGCATGACAGCTGTGGAGCTGGGCTCTCGAGCTCGGTGGACAGATCATGTAACTGCTTGCAGCCTCTGTTTCCTCGTCTCTACAATGGGAACAATCATCGTTCCTACCTGACGGGTGATGGCACAAAGCCAGTGAGTTGATCAATATAAACAGACTAGAACAGGGCCTGGTCTAGAGCGAGCAGTCAGTAACGGTAACTTACTTTACATAGGGTCACCGCGAGGAGATTTGAGGCTAATTTCATTTTTATAGTCAACAGTCAAAATTCCTAAAACTGTTCCCTGGATGATTTTCTCTCAAGGAGGCTTATATATTTTTTTTGATCTTTTTGAGATTATATGTGCTTCTGGAAAAAAATCCGTATTTTTGAAAAAAATATATGTTGTATTTTTTTTTAGAATGAAGTAACCCTCCTTTAAAATAAACTGTAACTGAGACGTTTTTGTGCATTTATGAGAAGTCAGCACCTTTCCTTTAAAGGTCACCTCACTCCTATTGTTCCAGGCATTTGTTACATTGAATTGTGTTCCCAGAAGAGACACCTTGTAAAAAATTGACCTTGATTGAGGATATAGGGTCTTTGATGATACTATCAGCTAACTATTCCCGAAGGAAGGTGGGTCCTAGTTCTAATCTCTTCTCTGTGGTGTCTTATGAACAGTAGAACTGAGTCACACACAGCAGGAAGATGCCATGGGAAGCCATGTCTCCAAGAAACCACCACAATAAAAGCTCCAAGAATGTCTCCCTCAGAGCTCCTAGAAAGCCTGGACATGGCAGTGACCAACGGGGACTTCTAGCTTGTGAGAAAAGAAAGGTCTGCTCTTTAAAGCCCGCCACTTTGTGATGTCTTGGCATGGCAGACCTGAGCCAGAGGGCAAGCACTGACCGTCACACACCACCTTCCAAGGGTGCCAAGTGAGAGTGGCAACTTGTGGCACTGGGGTGCAAACAAAAGTGATTTTCATTTTTACCATTAATTGGAAAACGCCTCACCTTTTCCTTTACAGTGACAAAAGTGTCTCTGCCTAGACCAGCGGAGCTCAGCCTTCCTCCTGCCGCGTCCCTTTCAGACAGTTCCTCATGTGTTGGTGACCCCCAACCATAACATTATGTCCCTTGCTACTCATCACTGTCATTTTGCTACTGGTATGAATCGGGCGGCTCCTGTGAAAGGGTCGCTTGACCCCCAAGGGGGTCACAACCCACAGATTGAGAACTGCTGGCCTAAGAGTCTCATAAGAAATCTACGACTACCAGTCTGGAACTAAATGAAGAATTCTCTCGTAGCTCAGGTGTCTGCAGGGGACAATGGCCTCCAAAGCGGCCAACCACCTCATACACGCATGATTTCACTGTCTGGCAACCACAAGTGCTCCTTTTTAATCCCAGACTGATTATCAACTTAATAATCAACTTTGGAATAAGAAATATTTTTATGAGAAAATGTAACACTGAATAATTCAACCACAGTGTGTGTGTGTGTGTTGATTTGCCGAAGTAGCTGGATTCCTATAAAATTAAACTTGTTAAATGATTTTATATGAAAAGGAAAAAGAAAAATAGATAAGGTTCTGCTACCAACACAATGATCAATTCGAATGTAAAGTGATTAAATGTTTAAATCAGGTAAGAGAGTTCTGTTTTAAATTGAACTATTTAAAAAATGCCATTTTGAGCCTTTGTGGCAAAACAGTGACCCAACCTGAGGAGGAAAAAAAACATCTTTTTGATTCAAATGATCATGATGTCTTTAGGGAACAAGGTTGATTTTCAAATGACCACTTTTCAAATGATCACAAATTTCATCCAGATGTATTTGAATTTTAACTTTTGTTAAAGAAGAAACATTTTATTCCAAAGTAGAGGAATGTTTTAGGAGAATAAATAAAAAATGTTTTTCACAAAATCTGAGTAGATTCAGGATTGTTTGGGACTGGGGGGCAGAGTGATGCCTCGTTGAATAGCTGTGTGTACCTGTGTTCGCAGGAGCTCAGGGTGTCAGGACGCTAAGGGAGGGAACTATTCACCTGGGACCACCTGGTGGGAGTAGAAGACCGAGTGCAGTTTGGAGACATTTCTGAACATAAGCACACGCTTCGCCATATGAAACCGCCCAACTGTCTGCGGCACATCCCACTGCTCCTGTGGCATATCGGGGAGCTACGTGATAAGGCCTGGCCCCAGCCTCTCAGCTGCACGGAGGCTGGGCTCACATGGATTCTGCCCTGTAGCCATGCTTCCTGCTGAGTTTCTAAGCACGGAGGGAAGGAAGTGAAGGGCATTGAGAGTATTTGTTGCGTTCTGCAGTCAACAATGTCCTGATCATAAAAGGGGAGAAGTCAGAGATGGAGAAGAGACCCCATCTCAAGCAGCCTGAATGCAAATTCCCAAATCTACTGCCAACTCCCAGTGCCCAGAACCCTAAGACACGTAGGACTGTCCCCAGGGCTTCCAAGGCTCTCATCTCTGGGAGATCAGATGGCCTCTCCTTCCTCCCACAGAGCAGTCAGAGCAGTGGTTCTCAGCCCGGGGGTTGCGACCCCGGGGTCGAACGACCCTTTCACAGGGGTCGCCAATTCATCTCAGAACCAAAATGACAGTGATGAAGTAGCAATGAAAATAATGGTATGGTTGCGGGGCTCACCACAACATGAGAAACTGAGGGTCATGGCACAAGGAAGGTGGAGAAGCACTGAGTTCGCGGATTGGCTTTAAACCACTGACTGACCTTGTAGGTGAGCAGCTGAGGCTTCGACCACTGGGCCCCCACATCTCCCCACTTTGCCAAATAGGTAATAAAATGGGCAAAATGTTCATGCATTTACAAATTCCACAGAGAGATCAGAAACCGAAAAAACCCCACAAAAAACCCAATAGTGATGCATTCCCTTTGCTTCAAGAGAAAAGCAAAGGTTTTCCTTCACCCCAGTCCACCCACGAGACTCACATCATAGCCACTGTTGCGGATCCCACGCTGGGCTCGCTCCCGTGTCACCAGCAGGTCCATCTCGGTCTCCCCTGGGCTCGGGCTGTTCAGAGACTGCCGGCTTCGGTAGACGGAGCTCTTCGTCTGTTGCCTGAAGAAAATGCAGCCACTGTTATGATGCGGCAAATGCCCTGACAGATGGGATTCTCCACTGGTCCCAGCTACAGGGAACCAAGGAAGGACTTGGATTTGCCTCACAAATCTCAGTCCGGGTGGTGTCTGGTCCCGGCCAGAAGGGGCTGGAGAAAGAGGAGGACACTGATTCCGCTCCCCTCCTGACCCCCCCCCCCAATCCTTCTAGATTCTGTAAACATTTGGCTGAATTGTAAATGTTGTTTTTTCATCTGGAAACTAGGTAACCACAGTTGATTGCAACACTGCAAAGAATCTCAAATTCTGCTGATGAACAGATAACACTTCTCCCTTCACCTAGGAGAGCTCGCACTGGGAGAACAAGCCGACCTTGGTGGGTCCTCCAGCCTCCGGCTCCTTTGAATTCATCGGACTTCACCGACAGGGTTCTAGGATGAGTTAATAAACCCTGCGGCTAATGGCAGCTTCAGATTGCCACTGTTGACAGACTTTCTCTTCAGCCTCCTTACAGAGGTGTCTCTTCTGAGCTAAGGACCCAGAAACCATATGAGGCTCCTGCCTTCCTCCCTCTAATATTTACTGAGTGCCCACTTCAAGCCCACACTGTGGAAGACTATGAGGAGTCACCATCGAACAAGACAGCAATGGTCCCGCCCTACTTGAGCTTAGGTTCTACTGATGGAAGGCCATTAACCCAGTAACTTCGGAGAGATAGAGAGTGATTAAGAACATTTAAAGACATCTAAAACCCAAACCAGCTGCCTTTGAGTCAATTTTGACTCACAACAACTGTATAGAAGGCCCAGGCTGTAATCTTTATGGAAGCAGGCTGTCACGTCTATCTTCCTCGGGGCAGCTGGCGGGTTGAAACAAGGGACCTTTTAATCAGCAGTCCATAAGCTCTGTGACACAAGGGCTCCATCAGGACAAACGACCCGCCCACATCATCAAGATTCTGACTCATCGCCACTCTATGCAGGGTTTCTAAGACTGTAAAGCTTTAGAGGAGCATCTTCAGAGGAGTAGACAGCCTCAACTTTCTCCTGAGGAGAGGTTGGTGGGTTTGAACCACCAACCTTGCAGTTAACAGACCACTGCTTATCCTACAGTGCCACCAGGGCTTAAGGACACACACGGTGGTCTAAAAAGAGAGCAAGAACTTGGAAAGACGTGTCTCCAAAGAAGATAACAAATAACCAATAACAACGTGGAAAAATGCTCAACATCACTAGTGACTCAAACCCAGAAAGCCAAACTCACTACCATCAAATCGATGCCGACTCACAGTGACTGTGACGGGGAGGAGAGGCTGGGGGTTCCTAGACTGGAATCCTTTATGGCAGTGGAAAGCTACCTCATTTTTCTCCGACAGAGCAGATAGTGGTTTAGAACTTCTGACTTCGTGGTTAGCAGCCAATGCTTAACCACTACACCATCAGGGGTAGGGCAATGCAAATCAAAGCTACAATGAGACTCCACTTTACATTCTCTGGGATGGCTATTATTAAAACAGAAAAAAAATGGAAAACAACAAGTGTTGGTAACTATGTAGAGAGACTGGAACCTTTGTCCTCGGCTGGAGAAAAGGTAGAATGGTGCAGCATGATGGAAAACCCAGTGGTGAGGCCTCCCAAAGTCAAACATGACATCACCTTATGCCCCAGATGAATGGATAGGCAAACTGTGCTATGGAGTAAACCGAAATACTATTTAGCCATGAAGGGAAACGGAGTTCTGACACATACGTCCTTGACACAGATGAACCTTAAAGCCGTTATGCTGAGTGACACACGTCAGACACAAAGGGTCAAATCTGTATGGTCTTACTCATATGGAATGTCTAGAATAGACACCTGCCTGGAGAGAGAAAGCAGGCTATTGGTTCTCATGAGCCGTGGAGGACAGAGAGTTAACACTTACTGGAACAGAGCTTCTTTGGGATGATGACAACATTTTGGAAACAAATAGTGTTACAATGGCACAGCAGGGTGCTTGTGGCTCATGCTACTGGATAATACATTTGAAAAATAGCTTAAGTGATATATGTTGTGTCGTGTCTATTTTACTATAATTTAAAATAGGAAAAACAAACAAATAAACACTCAGTCCCCCCAAAAGCTAAGGCAGTATGACAAAGGGTAACTAGGATGACCAAGATCTTCATAACTGGACCAATAGGTAACATCATGACAAATGGAGGAAAGACTGAAGTTGTCCAGGACTTTGTCTTGCTTGGATCCACAACGAATGCTCCTGGAAGCAGCAGTCAAGGGATCAAAGGATGCATTGTGTTAGGTGAACCTGCTGCACAAGATCTCTTTCAAGTCTTGAAAAGCAAGGCTATTACTTTGAGGACGAAGGTGCACCTGACCTAAGCCGTGGTATTTTCAATTGCCTCATATGCATGTGAAAGATGAACACTGACTAGAGAAGACTGTAGGAGAATGGGTGCATTTGAGCTGTGCTGCTGGAGAAGGCTTTGAAAGTACCGTTGCTAAAAGGGCAAACTGATCTGTCTCAGAAGTACAGCCAGAGTGCTTCTTAGAGGCAAGGATGCTGAGACTTCTTCTTATATACTTTGGACACGCTGTCAGGAGAGACCAGTCCGTGGTGAAGAGAAGTGGAGGGGCGGTGAAAAAAAAGGAAGGCTCTCTACAAGATGGACTGGCACTGCAGTTACGAGGGACTCAGGTAGAACACTTGTGAGGACGGTGCAGGACTGATACTGTGTTCTTCTATGCAGAGGGTTGCTGTGAGTCAGGGCTGACTAGACGGCACCCAGCAACAACCAGGATGAGGAATGGCTTTAGATCGTGCGGTCAGAGAAGGTCTCTTGGGGAAGGTGATGTCTACATCCAGAATGCAATGAGCTAGCCACGTCTGATCCAGACGCAGAGCATTTCGGCTCCAGGAAGCGGTAGGTCCAGAAGCTCCACTCAGCTACCCTAGAAAAGTCATGTATTTGCACCGTTGCCTTCTTTTCACTTGTCATTAAAGCCAGTGACTCTAGAGTGCATGCCAACGCATGGTGATCCCACACGTGTCAGGACAGAACTGTGCTCTTGGCTCAATTCTCAAGGGCTGCTGAGGGGAGGAGTAGATTGCCAGGCTTCCTTTTGAGGTCCATTTGGATGGTCTTGAACTTCCCACCTTAGCAGCTGAATGTGGTAACCATTTGCCCCGTTAGAGACACAATTTGTCATGAAACAAAGCAAAACAAAATAAAAACCAAACCCACTGTCCTTGAATTGATTCCAACTCGTGGGAACTCTATTGATCTAGGGTTTCTGAGACGGTAAGTCTTTATAGGATTTGAACTGCCAACCTGGAAGTTACCGACCCAATGTCTAACCCATAGCACCACCCGGGCTTCTCCACTTATCTTCAGAGGGACCCTTTTTACGAGGGGGAAGAAACAGGACTATAGTGAGGGTTGTGACTCTTCTTCCACAAGAAGCACCAGGCAATGTTCTCTGTGCTTTCACCAGTGGGAAGTGAGGCCCAACTGGGACAGGCAGGTGACTTTCACGTGATTCTGCTGAATGACAAAGTCGAGAAGAAATCGCTGGATCCTTGGCTCTCATCAACAATAAGTCTTCCTCTGTAAAGAAACAATTTGCATTTTCAAAGCATCTCTCTTCAAAGAACTCACCAGACACCACTTTTATTTTATGTCTTGGCTCTAAGACGCCACCTGTTCACGGGTCGAAGAGGCTGCATCAATATATTCCAGTGATTCACTAGGAGCCTGGCAAGTGTACATGCCTCTTGAGGGTCACACAACAAATTAGGCACAGCATCAAGAACAGACGCTAGAACTCCCGAAGCAAAGGACGACCCTTGTGATTAGTCTTAGGAATAAAACAGAAACTGGTAGATCTATTCCCTCTACACGACGTGCTTACCTATTTAGAGAACATCTGTGGTCTTTGCTTGCCTGGCATCCATGACAAATGTCTTTAGGTACGAGCATCCTGATGAACACCAAGGCCTCACTTTTCTTCACAGGCTGGCAGGTGACTAACGCCGGGCCCCTCACAGACAGCGTCACATGCCCTTGACCACAGGGATTGCTTGGGGGTGAGCACAGGGCCCCCAATGATCCAATGAGACCTGGTCTCCAGGCTTTTGCTAGGCAACCAGGAAAGAAATATCCTCTCGCATGTGGGGCTTGTCTCAGATAGGATGTAAGCCTGGGACTGTGCTGGCAGCCATTTGGCTACAGAGAGGCAAGAGCCGCCCCAAATCTAAGGGGAAGCAAAGAGTGAAGAGCGGGCAAGGCCGATAATGGGAGACATCGTTTGACCCCCAGATCCAACTACACCTTCAGTCTTGGCGTCTCCATGATGTGCAACAAGCAACAACCCATCTGGGCTGGAAGTCGCTCAGCAAGAGAATCTCGACGACCGCAGACGTTGTAAATGACAGGCTATGTGTCCCTGCATCATGCTTGGTCCAGCAGAGGGGCAGTGAAAAGGCCGAAGGCCCTCAATGAGATGGATTCACACAGTGGCTGCAACAATGGGTTCAAGTGTAAGAACAACTGTGAAGACGGAGCAGGATCGGGCAGTGCTTTGTTCTGTTCTGCACGCAGTTGCTATGGATTGGAACCGACTCGATGGCAGATAACAGCAATGTGTTTACTTGCACCCAACGGCTTTCATTAGGAAAGGCGCACACCTCAGGGGGTCTGTAGGAGAGATGCATCTGTTCTGATTAACTCATACTTTAAGGCAAACCCCAAAGAAGTCTCCCCCCTGACCTGATTACAATTCATTTAAAAAATAAGAAGCAACTTCACAACGGGGTTGAGGTGGCCAATTAGCCCATTTAGAGAAGATTTACTGATAAGGGAGGTGAGGAAGTCAACACTAGGATTACCAAAGGACATCTGAATCAGTTATTTTGAAAATATTAGCAAGACAACGATGAGGTCAGTAAAAGCCGAGCTACTGGAGCGCACATGGGACCACTTCCCTCAGCCCACGCTGTGCTGCA